GTTTCACCTAAGAAACCACTGGATCCCTTTAATTTTCTCTGCCTAATATTAAAAAGATGTGGGCATCTGAGTTTTGTCAGCTTCTCATATTAACATCTTTTGAGCCCTTAGGGAAACCCTAGAACTCTAGGACTCTAAGAAATACACAGTTTGGAGCAATCTCTAAGGATAATTTCAGCAATATTGTAATGTCTACAAAATTAGCTTACCTGCTCTGATATAAATGTTTTCTTCTTTTCTAATCTTGGTTAGATCTTAGCCATTTCCTCAGGTACCATGGGTCTCCATGCTTTTTACCATGATGCTCAGGCCTTTATCAAAGAAGAGTTTCATTAACATTGATGTATTAATAACTGACCAAAGAAGAGTTTATACTTTCTCTTTGGATGTTCTCAAGGCTACAAGTCTTCAATGAAAAACAAGAATACAGGTATCAGCAGCAGGTGAAGTTCAGACTGAGATCTGGGGAAAGCTAAGTCTTTTTCAGATATGCTGAAATTTCATCACAATACCATTTTAAATACTTACAATCAATAATCTTTCCCTTTACACCCTTCCTCCAGTGTAATATAGTCAAAGGTCAGGTCAACGCAGTAGTTGCCCTGAAGTGTAAAGCTGACACATTCATCATGAAAAGCACCAAAAGATTAGAGATAAAAGACACAGGCTTTACCAGGCTTGCTAATGTAGTCTCCATGCATAAATTGTAATCGACCTGGTTTAAAATTACTCAGTCACATCGTGAATTCGAAACCATATCCGTGGTGTTATATGATGCAGAAAGAACTGCCTGTGGCTAATGAACAACTGTAGATTGAGCAGTTCAGAAACAGTCCAGAAATCTAGGCTTTGGTTTCTTTTTTTATAATTCAATGTGCAAATCATACACGTTGTGCGAAATATAAGAAAAAAGGCTTTCCTATCCCATTAACTACAAAGCACATCTATGTTATGATTGAAAGAGCAGTTGCCTTAGAATCAGGAAGATCTTCTAATCCAATTTGTAAATCTCTCCCCAGCGACCTTGTTGCTAAAGGACTACCATTTTTTTT